TCACTCCCAGCCTTGCTCAGCCTGTCTGCTCAGGTTTAAAGAGAGATTGGAGAGCTCTCAGAGTTACCTGTGACAGGTGAGCATGAAGCTCAGGGACACAGACAGACTGACAGTAAGAAGCAGCAGTTTCTCACATTTGTGCGTTTCACTTCTTAACTAGTGATGTTCGATTCGTGAACGAATCGTTGAATACTCGAGAATCACTTGACAAGTGAATCATGATTCACAAGCCCAATTGACTCACTGACTCATTGTTGTTGTTAGCAAACTAATTCCATTAGTAGGAATATATCTAGCTTATAATTAAAATTGGGGGGGGGAACAACAGCCAGTTTCGTAACAAAAGCATTTCTGCTCTGAACTGGAAGAAAAAACCCTGAGTAGAAGCTCACATCAAGAAAATAGCTCCTCGGTTCAGAGTAGCATCGCGCTGCTAACATGCTAACAACACATTTGAGATACTCACCCCCTCCCTTCCTGTGCTGAATCGTAAGCATAAGCGAATCACTCAGGACTCGCTCACCCCCTCCCTCCTGTGCTGAATCATAGAGCGAACGAATCACTCACTCACTCACTCACTCACTCACTAACCCCCTCCCTCCTGTGCTGAATCAAAGAGCGAACGAATCACTCAGGACTCACTAACCCCCTCCCTCCTGTATGGAAGCCCGTTTCCGCCACTTAAAAAAAAAAAAAAGCTAGTATCCATAACTCGAAATTTCGAGTTATTTTCTCGAAATTTCGAGTTAGCTCTGCCAATCAAAAATATACGTGAATGAGGTCGCTTTCTTGTTACCCAGAAGCATATGGCGCAGGACCGCGCACTCAAAAACGGATCCCAACAAATTAAAGTATGTTTGCTGATAGTAACACCATGTGATTCAGCTAATAACACAGGGATTTCATCATTTGTGAAGCCAGGCTGAAAACACTCAGCAATCTGTGCATTCACGACTGGATGTAATACCGGTAGCTTAGCTGTAGCATTTGTAGCTGAGGGCTTCAGCTTCCGGGTAACATGGAAATGACATCATTCACGTAGATTACTGATTGGCAGCGCTAACTCGAAATTTCGAGTTGCTTTTCTCAAAATTTTGAGTTAATATGTCGAAATTTCGAGAAAATAACTCGAAATTTCGAGAAAATAACTCGAAATTTCGAGAAAATAACTCGAAATTTTGAGTTATGGATCCTTTTTTTTTTTTTTTAGTGGCGGAAACGAGCTTCCATACTCCTGTGCTGAATCATAGAGCGAACGAACGAATCACTCACTCACCCCCTCCCTCCTGCGCTCACAGCTTCTTCTTCTTCGTGGTTGGCAACCAATGTTAAGGCGCATTACTGCCACCTGGCTCACAGCTCAGTGGACATTTAGATGAGAAAATATATATTTGACACACTTAAGGAAAATACTAATAAAATACAAATAAACAAAATAAATGTTTATTAAGCAATTTTGATAGGAAATTGCTTAATTTTAGAAATGTTTTTGCTCTTTTTTTTTCTCTATAAAATAGTTTGGGTTTTTTTTTTAAATCATTTATCTTAGCAGTGGGATTTACATGAAAAGGGAAACAAATTAAGTTTGAGTGAACATGTAAAATTTTTGCACTCTCTGGTCAACTGACTCAGTGAATCAAATGACTCAAAACATCCGATTCACTTTGGTGAGTGACTCATTAACACTCGATTCAGTAAAAAGAATCAAATTTACCATCACTATTCTTAACACAGACGTTCAGTGACCCCACAGAGGAAGCTGCAAGTCTGAGAATCCTTTCAAAGTAAAATATTTAACATGTGGTCTGCTCACAGTTCAGACCTTTCAAAGTAAACCTACAAACACACCTCTGAGCTGTGATGAGAGTCTGACTCAGGTGTGCTGTAATCATCTGTGTGTCCACAGAGCTGCAGTCACCTGCCTCGTCTTCATCGTCTCACACACAGGTGAGTATCCATCTGTTCTTTCATCAAACAGGAAGACTTTAAATTCAACGCAGCTATGTAGAGTCCAGTAATCAGATTGCAATTACTGATAAGACAGATGGGTAGGCTTTGTCTCTGTTGTGTTTTAAATGCAGTGCAGGTTTATCCACTCTGTTTTTCCACTCTCTCTTTTCTCCAGTGTGCTGATGTTTCTCCTGAAGCCTTCGTTACTCATTGTCTTTACTCGTCATTGGTTTTGGTGACGTTTGGTGATGTTGGTGCGTCTGTGTGACGTCACATGATACTAAAGCAGGAGAGGAGTTTAGTATCTTGGTTTAGAGAGGAACGGGAGATTAGCGGATGGATTAGCGTGGAGTCTGAAGTACTGGGTCATCGTGGTGAAGAGAGAGCTGTGGGTGAAAGATAACCTAATCATTCAGAGGGTCTCAAGGTAGAGCTGCCGCTCCTCCACATCAAAGGGAGGCAGTTGACTTTGTTCAGGCATCTGACTGGATGCTGCTCTGACTCCTCCTAGACTAGATTTTTCAGGTATGTCCTCCTTTGCAAAGTCTGTAGTGCAGATCCAAGACACACTGGAGAGATTATGTCTCTCAGCTGATTTAAGTGTGATCTAAGCTGGTGTGGGAAATCTACGTTGTAACATACGAAACCCCTTTTAACGCTACACTATAACCTGTCACTCATCCATTAAGGTCTGTGTCGACCCCACGTTACGTTTTTCTGAGATTACGTGTCAGGTAACCTCCCTCAGCATGGTCTCGATGCTTGCTGTTGTGTTTGTGTGTCTGTCAATGAGCAGTGTGGTGCATGTGTGCGCCCCGGTTGGAGGTGAAGTCCTGCTGCAGTGCGTCTGCCCCGAGCTGCGGCGCCTGCCTCACAAAGTCGGTGTTTTCTGGAGGGACAGAGAGGACCGGACTGTGCTGGACATCATCCTCAGCAGCCCTTATGTTCACTTCCAGCATCACCTGTTCAGAGGGCGAGTGCAGAGCTTTCCTCACACCTGTAACCAGGGAAACTTCTCCATCCTCCTGAAGCACCTGCAGCTGTCAGACAGCCGCAGCTACACCTGCTTCATCCCACAGCTGAAGCTCAAGGAGACTATCCAGCTCACTGTGTCAGGTTAGCTCCTCCTCCTCTCTGAGCATGTTCACAGCTTTGTTGTCGTGTCCCTCTGAGCTCCTCTGCTCTTTGCTCCTGATGCAGATCACTGCGTGTCTGAAGCTCAGAGGACTCCAGGACCTTCATCTGCAGACTCCAGCTTCACGGCAGGTTACCTTCATCTCACCACCAGCCTCACGCTCCTCATCTTCCTCCTACTGAATCCTTGATAGGAGCGAGGCCTCGAACACAGACTGAGCTGGACTCTTTCTTTATTTAAAGACTAAATACTTTTATGGTGGCCCCTAGAGACAAAGCACACTTTCACTCCACATTAAATGTAATAAATAAATCATATAATTACATTTAATGTGGAGTGAAAGTGAAAGCTTTGTAAATTTTCGCTATCTAGAAAGCGAAAATTTCCAAAGAAATTTTAAGTGTGCCTATGCTACTGCCAGATCAGTTGTCCAAAGACATCAGGATGTATGTATTTGGAGCAAAAAACTAACAGAAAAACTGAAACATATTTAGTAGGAATATGTACACATGAGAAATATCAATATTATTTCTTGGTTTTTCTCTTAAATAAATGGACTGGGGTGTAACAGCGACTTGCTTTGTTATGAAGGCCAAAGTGATGCTCAATGAGAACAGAAGAAGAAGACTCTAAAGACCACTGATCTGTTATTAATCTCTCACAGTTCAGAGTTGTTTCTTACAGGATCCAGCAGATGGCGATAATCCTCCAGAACACCAATTAAAAAAAAGCATCTCGTACATGTTTGTTGTGTTTGGTTTTTGATATGATCACATGATGGCACCACGAGGCTGAAAGCTTAAACTTCAGCTCAGTGTGATCTCTGGTGAGATTTCAACTGCGTCACTTTTGTTTTTATAACGTAAAGAAATCAGATGTCTGAAAAGTCACTGAGAAAGATTTTAATGACATCCGTAAGTATTAAATTAAAGAAAAACAATTAACTTAAACTTTTGATTAAGACCTTCTGACACATTTAAATACTTTCACTCCCATTACAGTTAGTACCTGTAAAGTTTGGGTTGTGTTCAAAAGACTTTAAATCATCCTAACGTGTGTTTTAAAGAAAAGCTCTAGCTGAATTTTAGAACTATTTGCTAACAACACAATGAAAGAAGTAAAGGTGAATGATTCATTGTTGAAAACAGAAAAAAATGAATAAAAACAAAAGAGGGAGAGTTTTTTTCCCCCTACATTTTCCACTTTTACAGAACGCAAAAGCCAAATATTATTAGTACTAAGTAATAAACACTGTTTCTTGTTACTACTTTACAACTACATTCTAAAAATAAATATTAGGAAGCTGTAAAAATTAAACAAGCTAATAAATAAACCATATAAAATACTGACAGATAAAATCTAAGGTATTAAAGTTGCGAGAACACACAAAGTGAAGTAAATCAGTGACAATGGAAGCAATACAACATTTGGATTAACTGATATGAGCAAAAAATGTCAAAATAGCTTCAAGTGTCTTGTTTTGGTTTGATAACAAAAAAACCCCTTAAAATCAGTCAAGTTTTCCCCTCTTATAAATTGGTTCAGTTCTTTGTGCCACCTTTAAAGTTTCACACACATCCGAGGTTTGCATATTTGAGCTCCCATAAAGACCGCTTAAATGTAAAATATGTAGGTAAACATAAAGTCCTACCGGAATTGGCCCAATGAGGGAAAATAAAGGATGTTTCTACTTCTATTCTAAACCAAGTGAAGCTTAACGATTGTTTATAAGGTGCTCAGGCTGCCAGCCTTGAGGATATTTTCACATATTTGTTTTAGAAACAGCAGCAGTGGTGGTAAATATAACAAACGGCATATTTTAGGTGTCAACTGTCATTTTGTTAATAAAAGGTTATTTAAACAAGGCATGAAGACTACCCTTAAACAGAGAAGCACAACAACAAGTCCTCTTTGCCTACTTTAAAGAGCTGAAGAGCACAAACAGAGGGGCAGAGAGGAGAGAAAGGTGGTGTTTGGAGGTCGTCACTGCTGCACCACGAGTCGTAGGAGGCTCAGGATGTGGAGTCGTTATTTTAACAGCAGGTTTCACTGCAACACAAAAAAACCAATCATCAGTTTAATAAGAACTGAACATAAAGAAACACTAAGTTGTTTGATTTTAAGGAAGGAAGCCTAAATCTGAAAATTATGGGCATTCATATAGGAATCTCTGAAACATTGCTGCTGCTGATGTAAAAAAATAGAAACATTCAGCTACTTTGTTTCTGTACAGCTTGCAGATCACAGCAGATCACCTGCAGTGCGATCTCTGTCTGGTGCTAACACAGTAAAAAAAACACATCCTTTGACCATTAGTTCAGATGTTTCCTGTTTTTTCACTCTGCTTTTAACACTACTGCAGCTCTTTAGCTGAACCTCACACTCAAATACTGATCGACTGATGATCGGATCGATCAGAAACAAACAAAAACAAGCAAGAAAACATCTTTAAGCAGACTGAGTTTGATCACAAACTGAACAACAATCATACAAAACACCCACACCTGCTAAAGGATCATTTGGTTCCACTCATAAAAATTTAATCTGTTAACGTTTGTCCACCTTCCACATTTGCCTGCTGCTATGTCTTCAAATAGGATCTAATGTCTATTTTTTCTACATATTGTTACAAAAGAGCCAGAACAGTTTCTGTGGGATAGTCTTACATATGCTGCTGATTAACCCCTCCACTGTGCATTTAGTGGGAGGGGGAGTGGATTCATAAGGAGGCTTTTTGTGCAGCAGTCAACTCTTTGTGAGCTTGAGGCTTCATCGACACTTACTGTGAACAGTTTCTGCAGTAAATCAGACTTAAAAAGGAAACCTGTCCTGACTGTCTGACCTTCATCCATCCATTTCTACTCACTAATCACTGCAGCTTATCCTTTTCTGCTGCTGCTGCACAAACACTGAGGTGTTCCTAATGAAGTGCTCGTGCTGCCAAACTGACCTGTGACCTTCAGAGTCATCTTGGTCTGATAGTCCACTTTGGGGATGTTGCAATCGTACGGGCCGGCGTTGTCCGCCCTCAGGCCCTTTATGAGGATGGAGAGGTTTCCAGTTTTGTATTGGTCTGGGAAGCTGACCACACGACCTTTAAACTTTGGATCTATTTTATGCTCTTTGCTTTCGATGATGTCCAACACAACTTTGTCATCCTTGTCCCTCCAGAAGGCAGTGACCGGCTCGGACAGCTTTTCAGAGTAGACGCAGGGCAGCAGGACCTCACCACCGATGAAGTCGGTCCTCACAGACTGGCTGCTGGCTGCAGGATGACAGGACAGGTGAGTTACAGGTTACCTGTGCACAGCTTCACCACAGCTCTGTGCTTTAGCTCACTGTGTGCAAAGTGAAGAACTCAGCAAACCCTCTTGAATTTCTCTAAATGTGCAGAGAGGCCAGTTTCACAGGGTTTGTAAACATGAAGACATTCTTGATAAAACAATCTGGAAACCTCAATCTCGCACATTCTGTGCATTGAAAGCAGACAGGTGAGGTGGTTTTGTTAGATTTTGTTCTGGGCAAACCCAAATGGACGAGACCATGGGGTAGACCCAGAACCTGCTGGGGAGATGATCGCATCTGTCCTGTAAACATCTCGAGATCCACCAGTAAGAACTGGATAGTGTGGCTTTGGAGCAGTATTTATAAAATCTCTCTATCATCATTATCTATGTTACAAAAAAGGACAATAAGGAAAATCCAAAACTTTGGTTAGAGAGATCATAATGAATTATTCTTAAAAATAAAAAAACACTTAAATTCACTCACCAATTCATTTTTAACTCCAAAAATATGTATAAAGCAATAAACAGCCAACTTCCTGATAATATCCTAAAATTGGTTTTTAAAATAGACGGGGGACACAGTTTGATGGAGGCAGTTATATTTAAACCATCCCTGTGTCCACACTACACTACAAACTGTCTCTTAATGTGGAGTAATGACAGGAAGCAATGTGGAACCAAGAAATATGTTTGTCTGTAGCACCAACCGTCTACACTTCTGGTCTATTTCTGATGTAATGTCCTTAACCAGTGTGTCAGACGACCACCCACCAGCATGCACAAGCTCTTTAATCTAATTTACATTTTTAGTGCTAAAATATAATGATTGATGTTAATAATATAGCTTTTAAATGTATCATTTTACAAAAAACTGGGAAAAAATAACTGCAGTAATATTATTTGATGCCACTGAGGGTTGAAATGCACACAGGAGGCATCAAGGGAGCCGGTGTTCCCTACAGCTTCACTAACTGACTTGTCTATATGTTTATGGGATTTATGTTCATGTTGATTACAAAGATCTGCAGAAAGGCTCCAGTTATTCTTCACTCTGTACATTGCTGTACATGCCTTGTATACTTTCTTCAGCTGAACTGTGTACATTCAGGAAATATAACTATAACTACTGAATCATGCAGACCGCTCAAACAGTAACAACATTATCATCACTGAAATGGATACAAACTGAACCATTTCAGACCTCCTATCACAGCCACTCCAAACCCAGTGGCTGTGATTGGAGGTCTGAGCTCCACACTGAGATCCACACCTGGGATCAAGTCTCAGATACAAGTCTCAGTAGTGGGAACTGAAAACAGGTCTGAGTAGGATAAATACAACAAAAGATCCTGCCTTCAAAAGTCCACCTTAAAAGCTCACAGACTCACTGAAATCTTTATTCTGTCCTCTAAAAAACTCAGAGCAGGACTTATCCCATCTCACAGCTGTCAGAGTCTCTGAGCTGGATGGACTCTGAGGTCCTCGTTTCTCCCCAATGAATCACAGTAAACAAATTTTAAAGCTTAGACTCACCCGAGCTGCACAGCAGACACAGCAACACCACCGAACTGCAGAGAATCGACCACTGAGAGACGCACATGAAGGTGATTACGTCCTGCTGCTGGTGTCAGATGCAAATTTAACTGCCAAAGGTATGAAAACACCCCCCTTCATTGTTTATGTACTCTGACAACCTTGGAGTCAGAATGGAACTATGTGGAACAGTAGAAGCTTCATCACTGATGAGGAAATTTTCCTTTTCCTTGTTCTTTCTGTCACAGCCGTCTATGATAGACTGAAGTAACACCCGAGTGCTCCGTGCTGGTGGTTGGAGTGAAAAACCAGTGGAAAGGAAGCAGAGATGTGATTGACTCAGAGACGGTGGTGTGATTTTTTTTCTTTCCATGTTTTTTGTCAGGCGTGTTTGTGTGCAGGAAACCTTTAAACACGTCTGAGGCTTGCTGTGAATTTACGTCACTGTTTATATTGTTTTGTTTACCTGTGCTATTCTTCATAATGACATCATCAGACAGTTTATTATCTTGTAAATTTCCTATGACTTGTACAGTTTAGGCAACATTGTGCTACTGTATAGTTACATTGTATGTGTCATTTAATCCACAGTTTTTGGACTTTTGTTTATTTAAATATTCTGCTTGATTGTTTGTCTGTCTAACATCCACAGTTTTCAAGATATCGTATTGAAATATTGTGTGCTTATAGATACCAATAACAGCTTCAGCTGAGCTAATTCTGGTGAAAATCGGGTCAAAGTCACAGCAAATGTGAAAGTCAGTAAAACCCCTTTATGTCATGGTTCGGCTGTGTGGCAGGCAGGATGAGGACCCAATCGCAAAAACTCACGGACTCAAGGGATGAACTCAAAAGGCAGCTTTATTGCTTAACAGAAGATGACAGGCGATACAAAACTAGACTGGGGAAAAACTAACATAAAGCTCACCAAGGAACACAGGGAAATCCACGCAGCATGAGGGAGA